CGTGGGTAGGGGGGCGTATGCTAGATAGCTTCTTCTACGTATATGTTTCTAGACATACAAGAGGATTCATAGATAGCCTACATCGCCGCATATGTACGCGCCCTCTATACATAGGTAGCCACATATATATCGGTACATTCCGCCCTCTTATATCTATATATTTGTATTGTCTGTAGCCATATACATATATATATCTGTACTGACTTACGTGTGTCCTCATACCTGTACCTGTATATGGGTGTCCTTATATATTTATATATCTCGCTCTATGTACACAGATATATATATATATATACATATATATATAAATAGATATGGATGTATATATAGGTATATATATAGTTATATCCATATATCTCTACCTATATGGGTATATATATATATATATATATATATACATATATATATATATATATATATATATATATATATATATCTATCTATCTATCTATCTATCTATCTATCTATCTATCTATATATATATATATATATATATATATATATATATATATATCGGTTAGGGGAGATATTAAATATATATATATATATATATATATATATATATATATATATATATATATATAGGGGGGGGGGGGGGCAGGGGGGGAGGAAGGGGGGCCGACTGAGGCAAACATGTATTGAGAATTTCAAGTATCGAAGTCTCTTGAATATAAGTCAATCTATGATTGGAAACGTGTTAGGCTACAGTACAGATGTCCCGGGTTTGGTCCTCCAGTTGTTTAGGCCGTCCGTTCTAGTGCTACTTGTATATTATGGTATGATTACAAAGCTCGGTACGCTGTCTCTTTGAAAACGGATACCATCACTCTGTTGCTCTCGCTTCATATACAAATTATCTTGTCTTTCAAGAGCCTTAAAATTCGACTCAATTTAAACCAAAAATGCAGTAGCAATTGAAAATGTTAAAGTCATTTTAAAATAATGCAAAACTGACTTGTTCTGAGTCTCCTCTCTCACAACTGTGGGAGGTTGGAAGGTGCTCTGGTGTGGTTTGCTTCTTCTTTTCTATCAAGCATCTATCGCCCTTATCTCCCCTTCTTCTTTTATATATATATATATTTTTTGTTACTCTCTTGTAACGCCTCTATTCTTCTGGCGCTCATATGACCTTATGCTGTTGCGAGCACCGTAAAACCTATTTGGAACTAAGAAAAATCCGAGAAAAAATTAATTTGAAAAAACTTCCAAACAAAACCTTCAACATAAAAACTTTTTTTTTTTTAAGCGAAAGCAAATTTCTGCTATATATATTATTTTTTTACCGTTCCAATTTTCACATCACGCACGTGCTCTGTGTTGTCCAAAGAGAATCTAATGGTGAATCTGTGTATGATTAATAGGGGGAGAAAAAGAGCAATGCATTTGGAGAAAGAGAGAGAGAGAGAGAGAGAGAGAGAGAGAGAGAGAGAGAGAGAGAGCTAGAGAGAGTGAGAGATTGAGAGAGAGAGAGGGAGAGAGAGGGGGGGGGAGTGTGGGGTGAATACGATATGATATAATACTATGTACTTCTATTTTGGGGTCTTTGTTGAAACAACCAGTCAATTTGAAGGATCAGCCAAGAGTACGCTAGTGTGAGGTCATACTTCTCTCCTGTCCTTTGGTTGTTTCTATCTTTTTATTTCTACTTTTCCTTGCACATAACGGATGATAGTCTGTCCGTGTACTAAATAAACAGATAAACAAACAAACAGACAGACAGACAAACATACAGACAAACAAGCAGACGGACAGACAAATAGACTGACAGACAAACAAAACAGACAAACAAAACAGACAAAAACAATCGATCAAACCAACCGACCTTATTTTAAACTCTGACCTTTGACCTCTTCCACCAGTTCACAGTGGTGCCGGTGAACAATGAGACGAACCTGCGGGAGCAGGAGGAGGCGGCGACCACGGACGGGGAGAGCAACAACAACAACAGCAACAACAGCCACAGCCTCCGGGTGCCCATCCACACCTTCGACATCAACGCCGACGGCGAGCCCACGGACACGCTCACCCAGAACTCCATCACCAGCCTCCTCTCGGCCAAGTTTAGGGTAACTACAACTTATCATGTTATATATATATATATATATATATATATATATATATATATATATATATATATATATATATATGTGTGTGTGTGTGTGTGTGTGTGTATCACGACGTGGTGGAATCAGGCGTTCGTCAATTTTGGGGAAAATATGATGGGGCTATTGGTTTCATCTAAAAGCCTGTTCATTTGCCTTCCTTTTGGTCATGAAACATACTTTTATGTCGAATAGAAGTTGAAATATTTGCGATTGAAGGAGGTCAGGTTCGTCTGGTTTCAGGGCGAAATTAGTGAAAAATAGTCGCCAAAGTTTGGTAGCTTCCATAGTCTGAGAGTCCTTTGAAACTGAAAATTTACTTTTTTGTGTCTTTAATCAATGTTTTTTCAGTAAAACGCACACAAACATTTTTTAGAAAGACCTAAAAGCTGTTGAGCTTAAAAACAAGAAAAAAGAATTTTTTAATTACCCAGCAGGCGAAAAAATTACCTATTTTGACGAGCGCCTGATTTTAAAACACACACACACACACACACACACACACACACACACACACACACACACACACACACACACACACACACACACACACACACATATATATATATATATATATATATATATATATATATATATATATATGTGTGTGTGTGTGTGTGTGTGTGTGTGTGTGTGTGTGTGTGTGTGTGTAAATGTGTGTGTGTGTGTGTGAGTGTGTGCCCCCAGGACACTTTACACTCATTGATAGTGTCCCTCTTCTCGCGCGCGGGGGGAAAAAAAACTTTTATTTCGCTGTGTTTAAGATGCGCGAGAGCGTGGAGGGTCTAAAAGTGTGTGTGTGGCGTGT